TGTGTGTGAGTGTGTGTGTGTGTGTGTGTGTGTGTGTGTGTGAGAGTGTGTGTGTGTGTGTGTGTGTGTGTGTACGATTGCTCTCAGATTAAAACTTGAGTTTTGTCTCTAATGAGCTTACAGCAAATGCTCACTGTCTTTCTGGAGATATTTTGTGTCTCTGGTGTGTGTGATTTTTATTGCGTTTGTTTGGACGGGACTCTGTTGCATCAGACGCACACTTCACACTCGTGAGTGACAGACAACCTGCATTTGTTACCTTAAGGAGATATTTCCACCAGATTTAACCTGTACAAATGATCTTTGCTGGTATAAAGTCATTTAGGTTGATCTGGTGATGTTAAATAATATTTTTGACTTCAATAAAACTAGCTAATTTCATTGTTGCCATTTTTAGGATACAGTTTTTCACAGTGTACATGCAGATGACTCACTGCGTGTGTGTGTGTGTTTCTTGCTGGAGTGGCAAAGGAAATTCCTCCTCTTGCTCGTCTATGTGTAACACAGATAAAGCTCTTCCTGTACAGTACAAATCCTGTTTCCCCCGCGGCCCGATCGGACCCTGAGAAACCTCAGGAAGGGTGAGGAGGAGATACCCTCTTACACATGAAACCGTCCCTCACGGACTGGCCCACCGCTGTGTGTGTGTCAGATTAGATACTGTTTGTTGTTTGTGACAGTGGAAATTATGAATTGCTGCTCAAAACACAGACGTTTAGGAATTGAGTTTTAGAATTCAGCCAAGTTTGTGTCATTCCAAAGTTGTGTGCCTTTGTTTTTTCGGAGGAACACTACAGAACATGTTTTGCAGAATGTCCAAGTTGCTCTTTTCCATATAATGAAAGTCATTGAGGGAGGATGCTGTTGAGCTCTAAAAATTACAAAAGTTTCATAACAGTCATCTATATGACTTATGAACTGTATTTAAAATATTCTAAATCATGTTCTGCTTTGTATGAGGAGCAGACAAACACCATTCCCTGACAATCTTTCTTGATGGCTTTTCATTGAGGCATTCTGCTAAACACCTGCTTGTGTTTTAGAGAAGAAAGTTATGGCAATTTAAAACAACACGAAGGTGAATAAATGATAGAAAGTGTTAAAGGCAATATTTTTGTTGAATTAAAAATGCTGAGATTGTTATGACACTGTTGGACGGCTTGTGTTGTGTTGTTTATATCACTGCAAAATTTGCACTATATTATCACACAGCTCTATACATAAATACGTTCAATTTGATCTGCATACATACAGTATGCTCACATAAAGCAATATATACAGTATAACAACAAATCTCAAAAACATGATTGTTTATACTGTTGCAAAATTTAACTGTATTGTCTTCTAAATGTGACAAAGGCATGAAGATATTAAGACATTATAAACTGATGTTCTTTGAAATAACGAGTATCATGAAATGCGCTTTACAGATAGCATTTACTTGGTGTTTAGACGTGCATCTAAATGGTGAAGGGTTTGTCGGTCTGTGTACTGCACATTCTGCTCATTCATGAGTCCTCTCTTTCTCTTTGTGCTGTGGATGGGGAAAACGGACGGATGGTTCCGCACTGGCCGTCTCCAGAACCCAGCGTCCTGGAGAGATCACGATGATGCCACGTCCACACACTCGGCCGGCACGCCGGGACCCTCCAGCGGAGGACACGCGTCACAGAGCGGAGACAACAGCAGCGAACAAGGTGAGTCCTGTGATGTACCTGTGCTCTTATCATGTTACTGAACCATATCAGACATGACATAAAGCACATGCAGTCCCGACAGTGTGAACATGCATGTGTGTGTCTGACCTCCATTAGGATAGTAAATACCATCCAACAGTCCATGAGGAAAACAGATTAATTAAGTGTTATTTAAAATGTACAACTGCAAAATATTTTCTGTGAGGGGCAGAGTTGAGGCCCGTTCATGCCAAGATCAATTACTATAATGATAACTTTATTTGCATCCACACCAGTACAATACCGTTCTGTTTATTCTATTCTTTCTGTAGCTTTAAATCCTGTCAATGTTTTTATCATTCATTAACTGGAAAAAAAAACAGTTTTAAAAGTGATTCCAATTACATCATTTTCGTTATAGTCGTGGTGTGGACTCACTATTCTCTTTGAGTTAGAGTGATTATTAAAACTTCATATTTATCATTGTAGCTATCATTCTTGGTGGGAACAGGGCTTATAGGGTTAGGGGATAAAAATATAATTAGCTCACTATAACAATTGTATACTCTACTAATGATAATATATAATAGAAATATAATATAGCGTATGATCCATTGTGCATCTGTGTGTGATGAAGCAGAGGAGAGTGTTATTGATCAAGCTGAAGTCATAAGTACCAGTGAGCTGTTCTCCTCGCTGCAGTTATCGACTCTCTCACACTGGATCCAGTAACGGCTGGTCGATATGGGCTAACACACTTACGGTATGGCACGCAGAACTGCCTCGAAGCGATCCGGTCAAGCCCCGGCCCAAACTAAGCCAAACAGACAGTGAGACCGGATACAGAGAGAGAGACGAGAGACAGAGAAAGACAGAACAGAGAGAGAACGGACACAGAGAGAGACATGACAAACAGAGAGACAGAGAGAAAGACTTGACAGAGAGAGAGACAAAACAGAGACAAGGACAGAGAGTGAGACAGGACACACAAAGTGAGCAGAGAGAGACATGACAGGATGAGAGAGAGGACAGACAAAGACAGGACAGAGAGGGAGACAGGACACACAAACTGGACAGAGAGAGACATGACAGGATGAGAGAGAGGACAGACAAAGACAGGACAGAGAGGGAGACAGGACACACAAACTGGACAGAGAGAGACATGACAGGATGAGAGAGAGGACAGACAAAGACAGGACAGAGAGGGAGACAGGACACACAAACTGGACAGAGAGAGACATGACAGGATGAGAGAGAGGACAGACAAAGACAGGACAGAGAGGGAGACAGGACACACAAACTGGACAGAGAGAGACATGACAGGATGAGAGAGAGGACAGACAAAGACAGGACAGAGAGGGAGACAGGACACACAAACTGGACAGAGAGAGACATGACAGGATGAGAGAGAGGACAGACAAAGACAGGACAGAGAGGGAGACAGGACACACAAACTGGACAGAGAGAGACATGACAGGATGAGAGAGAGGACAGACAAAGACAGGACAGAGAGGGAGACAGGACACACAAACTGGACAGAGAGAGACATGACAGGATGAGAGAGAGGACAGACAAAGACAGGACAGAGAGGGAGACAGGACACACAAACTGGACAGAGAGAGACATGACAGGATGAGAGAGAGGACAGACAAAGACAGGACAGAGAGGGAGACAGGACACACAAACTGGACAGAGAGAGACATGACAGGATGAGAGAGAGGACAGACAAAGACAGGACAGAGAGGGAGACAGGACACACAAACTGGACAGAGAGAGACATGACAGGATGAGAGAGAGGACAGACAAAGACAGGACAGAGAGGGAGACAGGACACACAAACTGGACAGAGAGAGACATGACAGGATGAGAGAGAGGACAGACAAAGACAGGACAGAGAGGGAGACAGGACACACAAACTGGACAGAGAGAGACATGACAGGATGAGAGAGAGGACAGACAAAGACAGGACAGAGAGGGAGACAGGACACACAAACTGGACAGAGAGAGACATGACAGGATGAGAGAGAGGACAGACAAAGACAGGACAGAGAGGGAGACAGGACACACAAACTGGACAGAGAGAGACATGACAGGATGAGAGAGAGGACAGACAAAGACAGGACAGAGAGGGAGACAGGACACACAAACTGGACAGAGAGAGACATGACAGGATGAGAGAGAGGACAGACAAAGACAGGACAGAGAGGGAGACAGGACACACAAACTGGACAGAGAGAGACATGACAGGATGAGAGAGAGGACAGACAAAGACAGGACAGAGAGGGAGACAGGACACACAAACTGGACAGAGAGAGACATGACAGGATGAGAGAGAGGACAGACAAAGACAGGACAGAGAGGGAGACAGGACACACAAACTGGACAGAGAGAGACATGACAGGATGAGAGAGAGGACAGACAAAGACAGGACAGAGAGGGAGACAGGACACACAAACTGGACAGAGAGAGACATGACAGGATGAGAGAGAGGACAGACAAAGACAGGACAGAGAGGGAGACAGGACACACAAACTGGACAGAGAGAGACATGACAGGATGAGAGAGAGGACAGACAAAGACAGGACAGAGAGGGAGACAGGACACACAAACTGGACAGAGAGAGACATGACAGGATGAGAGAGAGGACAGACAAAGACAGGACAGAGAGGGAGACAGGACACACAAACTGGACAGAGAGAGACATGACAGGATGAGAGAGAGGACAGACAAAGACAGGACAGAGAGGGAGACAGGACACACAAACTGGACAGAGAGAGACATGACAGGATGAGAGAGAGGACAGACAAAGACAGGACAGAGAGGGAGACAGGACACACAAACTGGACAGAGAGAGACATGACAGGATGAGAGAGAGGACAGACAAAGACAGGACAGAGAGGGAGACAGGACACACAAACTGGACAGAGAGAGACATGACAGGATGAGAGAGAGGACAGACAAAGACAGGACAGAGAGGGAGACAGGACACACAAACTGGACAGAGAGAGACATGACAGGATGAGAGAGAGGACAGACAAAGACAGGACAGAGAGGGAGACAGGACACACAAACTGGACAGAGAGAGACATGACAGGATGAGAGAGAGGACAGACAAAGACAGGACAGAGAGGGAGACAGGACACACAAACTGGACAGAGAGAGACATGACAGGATGAGAGAGAGGACAGACAAAGACAGGACAGAGAGGGAGACAGGACACACAAACTGGACAGAGAGAGACATGACAGGATGAGAGAGAGGACAGACAAAGACAGGACAGAGAGGGAGACAGGACACACAAACTGGACAGAGAGAGACATGACAGGATGAGAGAGAGGACAGACAAAGACAGGACAGAGAGGGAGACAGGACACACAAACTGGACAGAGAGAGACATGACAGGATGAGAGAGAGGACAGACAAAGACAGGACAGAGAGGGAGACAGGACACACAAACTGGACAGAGAGAGACATGACAGGATGAGAGAGAGGACAGACAAAGACAGGACAGAGAGTGAGACAGGACACACAAAGTGAACAGAGAGAGACATGAAAGAATGAGAGAGAGGACAGACAGAGAAAAGGACAGAGAGTGAGACAGGACACACAAAGTGAACAGAGAGAGACATGACAGATTGAGAGAGAGGACAGACAGAGACAAGGACAGAGAGTGAGACAGGACACACAAAGTGGACAGAGAGAGACATGACAGAATGAGAGAGAGGACAGACAGAGAGGGAGACAGGACACAAAGGCAAAGTGGACAGAGCGAGACATGACAGAATGAGAGAGAGGACAGACAGAGACAGGACAGAGAGTGAGACAGGACACACAAAGTGGACAGAGAGAGACATGACAGAATGAGAGAGAGGACAGACAGAGACAAGGACAGAGAGTGAGACAGGACACACAAAGTAGGCAGACAGAGACCGGACAGAGAGTGAGACAGGACACACAAAGTGGACAGAGCGAGACATGACAGAATGAGAGAGAGGACAGACAGACAAGAACAGAG